GTCGAGGGGAACAAAGTGGTATTGACTATCACATTATAATGCCCTCACAGCTGAAAGGGTGAGATGAGGATCAGAATCTGCAACCCAAGGATTTGGGGAATGAAAGATTTATGTATGGCCGTAACAATAAACTGTTCAATACATATATTCCAAGAAAATGAGATACTTTCCTTGGTATTATAATTCACAGAATATTGCAGATGCCACAATGCTTACTAAATTCATGGCTCACAATATATTCAAACAGAATATCAGTACATTTTTAATAGTACACAAGTATTATCCCCATTACCTTACAGACATTCAGAAGGTATCTTCTGTATTGTATTGTTAGTATGTTTAATTTTATAAAAAATATTCTGTTGTTGAGTTCTGTTGCAGCCTTATAATGAAGATTATATTGAAATCAGAGAAATATGGCATCCTACTATGAGAATTATAGGGAATCCACTCCTTACTGTTTATTCCAAGTTTATGATGTACACAGGGCTGAATTAAGGTTTAGTTGGGGCCCTAGGCTCGAGTAATACTTGGAAATAATAATAACTCACTCTTGCCTCTATTCTGCTAGATTTACAAACCATAATTGGAGGCCTATGCATTAATCCAGTACTGGCTGTAGGATTCATTCTGTCTCAAGCTAATTTAAATTATCCTGTAACTGACAACCTCTTTAAATAACAAATAATTCTACACTCATTTTGAAAAGTTATGTTAACAGTCTTTAAGTTGTATTTTTTTTTTAAACTAAATTACAGCGATATCATACCCAACAGGTCCATGAGCTTTCATGGACTTCAGACTAAGAAGAGATGGAGTTGCTAGTTCCTTGCACAGGTTGAATGTCCACTTCTCAATCAGCCGGTAGTAACCATCCAGTAAGGAAATAAAAGAATGCATAACATCTACCCCATTAAATCTAAAATGCTGAGAATAAAAATATGACAATGAATATATGAAAAAATATTAAAATCAATAAGTAAAAACTTTAATTTTTCTACACAAAAGCAAATTCAAAACTAAAATATAAATTGCATCTCAAAAAAATGTATTACACATTTGTACATATTATACGAGGTCTCATTATGTTTATCATTTATTAAGTTTACATTTAACCCCCTGTTTGTAGTAGGTCAAAATGTATACATCACAACCTTTTCACTGAGTTACTTTATTAATAATGTATGTCAATAAATTTGGCATCAAACTGTAGTTTACAATTCAAATTTTAATATTACACAACTTTTAATTACTTAATTTCACAAGAAAATATTTAGATAAATTCACAGTCTTCACTTCTCTTTATAACATGACACTTCTTCACTCTGAATTGCTAATTTTAGGTTTTCTTTTTACTCTGTATGAACTTCCGAGTTTAGCATAACTTATATATCTATATATTATGAATAATACTAACACATAATGTAAACTTAGAATCTCCAATCTTCTTGCTTTACTGAAATATACATACAAAAGTCAAACACACACATGCTATGCCCTATTATCACACCCCTCTCTTTCAACTATCTGATAATTGCTATTGATTATTCTTAAGCAGCTGAAAGTGTAATTTTAATTTGCTGAATTTTCTGTAAAGTTGGCTCATTCTGTCAGCAGTTTTAAATTATTCAACCTCACTCTAACCCTTTCCATACAGGTCATAGGTGAAAGGCCATGTCATCTCATTTGTTGAATCGC